ATTGCTTTGTCCTTTCTCCCTTGCCACAAGGAACTCAGGTTTATTACAGTGCTCCCGAGGCACTTCCGTTCCATTGTGGTTATCTGTAAACTCTTCTCTATGCTCTCTTCCCCAACCAGTTAATCAGCTTTTCCCCTAATCAAAATCTGTTAATTTGTAAGGTCAGATCCTTCTAGGACACTGAAATTGTATTTTAAGTTAATATTGCCTTTCTCCTCTCCTTATGTCTTTTGAATAGTTTACTTTAATGCAATGTCCTTTTTGTATAGATACAGGAAGACAGTTAATATTATGCTTCGTAACTTAGGATTTAATTGGCTTTGAATATTATTATTATTCACTCCCAGGCATCTGCTTTCTCGACTTAAGCCTCAGTTGCTCTTAGTTCCTAGCACCCCAAAAGCAGGGTCCTGACAAGGGACTGAATGGACCCAGGGCAAGTGGTGAGCTACCCTGGCATCGAAATGGGCCAGGCCAAAGTGCCACGATTCTTAACTATAAGAGCTTGATCACAGACAAATGCTGTCATGATCCAAAAGTAACGACGAGACTAGGACCCTGCTAGAGATAGGAAAGACTATCTGGCTTGAGCACTATAGTCTGGGATCAAGATGGCCCTAGAAGAGCAATTCCATAAGCTTAAGTATTTCTTACTGTATCCATACAAAATGATTTATATTATGTATGCTAATATGTTTGTTGGACAAGGAGAGGAGAAACACACCCATGGAATTCCGCTCTAGGGTGGGTCATCCTGCTGAGAGAGTATCTGTCCTAGAAGCTGCTTTCCCGGAGGGAAAGAACTTTACCCCCATTGATTGTGACCACACCTATGTGTAAATGTTACCCCAACCCCTCATGCTTTAGGATTTAACTAGACTGGGGGATCAGGATCCAGACTCCAGAAGGAGAAGGAGAAAGGGGATCCAGATTCTAGAGCAAGAAGGAGAATGAAGAGGGATCGAGGAAAAGAATGAAGTAGCATGAGGGAGGAAGAAGCAGGAGGAGAATCAGAAGAGAATGGAGATGGGAATGGAATAAACTGAATTAAGACCAACCAGCCTGGCCCTCGTTTTCTTCTTTGGCCTGCCCATTGCCATCAACTTCCCCGGGGTAGGGGAACCAGTGTGGGACTACCGAACGCGGGCAGCGGAGAGATAGACCACTGCTGCCGTCTTTTTTCAGTTTACACACTTTGTAACTAAAATACAAATAATGTATTTTAGTACCCCATTAAACAAAATTTCTGTCTGTTTTTCCCAACGGGAAGTAAAGATGATTAGAAAGTAAACCAGTAAACCGAGCTAGCTACCTTTTTTGGGAAAAAAATTCAAGGGACATAAATTAGATTAATGACTATACCAGATTACTTTTACACCGAAAAAGTGGCAACTTGGCTCAAATGACAAGACATCACATTTCTTAAAAGATGCTGCAAATTTGGAGTCACTAAGCATTCAATTATCATTACCTTCCCCCCACCCCCTAACCCTAGTTTTGGGGCTGTATCTGGCTATGCTGAAAGATCACTCCTGACAGTGCTTGACTAATTGCTCCTGGGAAATCATAAGTGGTGTCAGACTGAAACTGGATCAGCTATGTGCATGACAAGCACCTTGGCCTCTGGATTATTTCTACAGCCCTTAATTACAAGTCTTATCTTCAAAAAAAGAGAAAAATGCAAGAGGATGTAGGAAAGTCAAGTTTACTTGACAGAAGTGAAGGGAAGGAAGAAAATAAAATGGTTAAGTTATCTTATTCTAACTTTAAATATAAAACAGCATGTTTTATCTAACTCCAAGATAACCTATAATTATACTAAAGTGTTGCATTGTACTTGATTCCGTTTACATGCTAGAGAACCAAACAACTTTTTTTCATAGCTTCTCCCATCTCCAAATGTGATGATAAAAAAATTTTTTAAAACCCTGACTTCATTAATTTTCTTTGCTTTGGGGCCACATCAGGCAAGCGGTGGGTAAAGGGGTCTAAACTCTATGGTGCTGAAGTAACAAAATAGGAGACTAACACCCAAGAGTGGCCAGGATTAGTACCAGGAGGTTGCTCCATAGCTTGGAGGCCAACCACACATGCTAGAGGAAAAGGGAGCTCAGATAGAGAAGGGAACACCAAATAAAGGATGTTGGGAGGATCCTCCCAGGATGGGAGAAGCATGCTGAAAGTAAACTATAGACCAAACATGATTGCCACTCAATGCCTCTTTTGCAAACCACAACACCCAAGAGGAGAGAGAAAACAAAAGGGAATGCCCTGCCACTGAGGCAGAGTGGGATGGAGGGGATGGGGGGTGGGAGGGATACTGGGATCCGTGGTGGTGGGAAATGGGCACTGATGGAGGGATGGGTATTTGATTATTGTATAACTGAAACCCAAGCACAAAAATATTTAAGTCTACAACTGTACCTCATAGTGTCTCACTAATAAAAATTAAAAACAAAGACAAAAACAAAAAAAAAACCTCTATGGTGCTGGAGAGGTGGGAGGGTCAGAGATCAAACTCAGGGATCTGCCAAGCAAAGCATGCCCTCCAAGTATTTTCGCTATCTCCCAGCTCTCAAATCCAATATTTAATACTGATTAGAAAACCCATGTTTTACTGTCAAGTTATTTTTCCCTTTTAAAAGGAAAGAACAAAAATCAGCTCCCACAAAAGTAACCAAAGGAGACTTGTGTATTGAAAGAGGTACAAAACTGGGGCTGGAGCACAGCAGGTAGGGTATTTGCCTTGCACATGGGTGACCAGGGTTCAATTCCCAGTATCCCATATGGTTCCCTAACACTGCCGGGGTAACTCCTGAGTATCCCCTGCGCATCGCTGGGTTTGACCCAAAAAAGGGGGGAAAAAATTGAAAGAGGCACAAAACTATAAAGAAAAAAACTTCCCCACCCTAACAGGGCCATTTTTACTATTTCTTCCTCTGATATCACCAAAAAAATCCAGAACCACATCATAAAAGTGTGCTATAAAACCCAGGTCAGATATATCTCAAGAAAAGCTTTAGTAGGTAGGGGCCAGAGTGACAGTACAACTGGTAGGATGTTGCTCTACTGACTACGTTTAATCCCAACACCCCATATGGTATCCTAAGACCTGCCAGGAGTGATTCCCTGAACGCAGAGCCAGGAGAAAGCCCTGAGCACAGTTGTGTGTGTGTGGGGGGGGGGGGGGAGGGGAGGGCGGGGGGGGGGGGGGATTTTGGTGCCTGGGGGGGGATTTTGGTGTCTAGTGGTAATTCCAACAAGTAGCCTAAAAACAGAATTAGTTCTACCACCAACAGTACTAGCAGAAATCTGCTGAATATACAGATTAGAAACCAAACACACAGCTGGACATACTCTGCTAGAAAAAAAAAAAGTCAAAGTGAAAGAGAAAAGTATCAGTTCATATATCACTAATTCACTTAGTAAGCACTGAGTAACAAAATATATCTAGGAGATCTGATTTTATCACCCCCTCCATTAGGATGAAGAGACTCTGATATTCTAGTTATAACACCTAATGGATTAAAAAATCCATATTTATCATTTAATATCTGAGTTTTGTTTTTTAAAATTGCTTGTTTAAAAAAAGAATTAAATGAGTTAGGTATATTATTTTAATATCCTTTCTGTAGAAAAGGGCAAAGCTTTGTAAGAAAAGAATTATGTGAACCCTGACACCTTTTATGTAAGAAGACAAACCAGTTGAAAAGACTAATTTGGGAAGGGTACACACACCCAGCAGTGCTACAGGGCTAGCCCTTGTGGTGCTGGAGGGCCACGCAGTGCCAGGTATGGAAACTGGGCCTTTCACGTGCAAAGCACACTCAGAGGGTGGAGCTCTCACTCTGGCCCTGAAACGTCTTGGTTTGTGAACAGGGTGAAGAGAGGGAGGTATGTTGTCTTGGAAGGTAAAGTGTACAAGCTGGCTAAATATTCTTAGAAAGAATCATTTAAGATGAAATGTGGAATAATTGTATTATTGGGGGGGAGAGAAAAATGAAAGTTTTATAAAGATTAAAGTAAATGAATTTATAATGAAATTGGAAATTTTTTTCCCTCGCTAGCTAAATAACAGGAACTATCTACTGCTGTTGTGTGTATTTTCAAGCAAATACAGAAGCAAAACTCTTTAAAAAATACACACATTTAATGTTGGTCTGTTTTAATTCTACGTAAAGCAATTCCAAAAATACAAACTGAACATCAGAGCCATGTGAACCACCATGATAAAATAAAACAGACATTCACAATAATTACGTCTAAAGACAGTTCAGCTTAATAAATCATCTCCCAAGTATGCTAACGAAAGAGTTACTAAAAATACTGCTGGTGTTCAGTTAGAATTAAAGGACTTTGGGGAAAATGAAATAGTATGATACAGGTGGAGTGAAAAAGGTTACACGGGATTTACATTTTCCATTACCCCTAGATATAAACAAACATTCAAAATCAACACAAACTCTGTGTGTTATTCAAAATATTGCAGCTGCAGGAAAGGCAACTTTAAATTAATAGCTAGGGGGAAATCAAGTTTTGGTGGAGGTAAACAGAAGTGACAGTTTTTAATTTGCACTTTTGTAAAGCTCATTTATACCTGGCCAACCAGGAACCAAATGCAGGACAACGAAGTTCTCTGCTTCTTTTGGCTATAACGTGACAAGAAAAGGTCATCTTTTGAAGATGTTTAAAGAAATAAAACAACTTTCTTTATAAACAGTCAAATAATCAATCAATGGAATAAATAAGCACTAACCCACACTTTTACCACTCCATAATCACTACACTTTATATATTTTTCATTTTGGTGGCAAACTCCCCAATTATTAAGCTGAAATTCATCAATCACTTTTAAGAGTAAAACCAATAGCCACCAAAATAAGAATATGCTTCTGTTTACTCTTTGGCTAAAAAGGAAAACAAACAAAACAAAACAAAAAAGAAACAGAAGACAACTCTAACACTGGTGATAAAAGAAACTTTTTTTTCCCAAAAAAAAAAAAACAAAACAAAACATGTAAAATAAAGTTATCAATTTAAATCTTGGTACATTTTATAAAAACAAGAGGTAATGTTGTAATAAAACAGCAGTAGACTCCTCAGGCCACGCTGTTTTGAACCCTGTGCAATAAAATACTTTGTTCATACTACACTTATTCAACATGACTAACAGTCACTACAGACATTTCAGGAATCTTCACGGGACTCCTATAAGACTTACTGTTAAAACCTAGAGACATTTACAATCATAATGTGTCATGAAAACTTGAAAATGTTATTTCTAGTAGGAGATAATGTTCATATTACTCAAATGCTTTAGGTACTGAACAGCGGAGTTACAAGGACTGAAAGTGAAAAGCATTCTAAAAGCCCATGAACAACTGTTGTTCACACCCTTCTTCAGAACACACTAAACTTGCCTGACACATTTCTCTTCATACATAGCAAGCAACAGCACCCAATAAAAGCCTGAGAAGAAATGCTGCTGTGTAAATACTGCAACTATTCCTGAAAGAGAATTATGGGATATATACTCCAAAGCTGCCCATTCCCATAATTTGTATTGCATAGGTCACATAATCACACACATATATATACACATATGTATATATATGCACATGCAAAGAATATATTAAGACGACAATGAAGTCTAGTCACAGAGCAATTTACAGGCTCAATATATTTTTTACACTTTGTTTGAAAGAAAATTTCAATATTTTACAGTCTTTTCGTAGGCATTATATACACTGCACTTTATGAAATCTAAAAGGTATTGAAATAAATTTCTTCCAACATTTTGGTAACAACAGACAATGTTTCTCCAAATACTTGTGCTATCTACATGATCAGTTTTCTCTGGTAACCACTAATCACAAAAACTGACTCAATGGAATAATTAGAAAAATTATCTAACACCATGCATGGGTTTGAATCATTTTTAATATTCTATCCTAGAAACATTCTACAAATCTTAAGATTTAAAAAATTAAGTCTCTGTTCTGCTTTTTAAAAGATAGCTTTTTATGACAATATCCATAACATTGACAAGTACATGTTAAGGCTAGCATCATCTCCTTTTGTGAATTTTTTTGACTTTTTTTTTTTCTTAAGAAAGATAGTAAAAGCCAGACTACTTTAGGGCTTTGAACTTTACCTACAGAAAATGAGAGTGCAGTGAACATAATGTTCAGTCCTACAGTCAGGATGCAGTTGCTCCTTCCCATTCCACAAGATACTGCACCTTTCCATCAAGTGTCACCCGACGAGCCAACACTCGGTATTTTTCACCACATGCTATTCTACCTGCAGCACCAAAATAACTGGTAATTGAGTTTTTAAGATGATTGAGTTGTAATTCCTGATCTGCTAAATTATTCAGAATCTCTGTGTTGAGTTCATCAAATTGGTAATCTTCTTTGCCTTCATCATCTTTTACAATTTCTGAGTTTTGAGTCTGGAGTGCTCTTCTTGGAAGACGACCCCTTCTCCTCCTTAAATGTGGTATTGCAGCAGGCCAAGATCTTCCTGTACGAGTTCTTTTTCTGGAGTCAGATAATCTAGGAAACAAATAAGGCCACAATTATCCATGAAGCTCATAAAGCATCCTTTAGCCAAAGATAACATTTCCTGATTTTTTCCCCTATCACTCTACTGTAAATATATACCCATGCTGACATAAAAATCAGCTAAACCAAAACAATGAGTGCTATATAAATGGACTATCACTTGCCTTCATTAGATCCCATCACCTTCTTGGGACAGATCTTAAAGCAAGGCACACATATATTAGAAGCATGAAAAAAGCCTAAGAGAAAGAAACATGCTCTAACAAGTTTAATTTTTTGGTTTTTGTTCTCTAAATAAATAAAAAAATATTCAGATGAACATTAACAATTCAAGCAGCTTACATATGAATTTCTCTTTGAGACATAATTTTGCATTCAAATGCTAAATATTTAAGCATTACTCTACAAGGGAAGCAAGAGCTTAGAGGAAAACTAGGAAAGAACACAAAGATAAAATACCCATAATGCCTGGAAATGCTAGACGAGGTAGTTTCTTTTGCACTGGAAGCACCCGTGAAATCCACATCTGAGGTATTAGATGAATGTGCAGTTCCCTCAGTTCTCCTGAGACAAAAGATTTTAAATGGTATAACAACTATTATTACATAACAATAGAAATACTAATTTTCCCCCAAAGTAAAATTCCTAGGAAAGGAAAAAACAACTTTTTATTTACCCCATAGAACAAGGTAAATCCAAGGTAGGATTTTCTGAAACTGATTCCTTATCCTGAGGGGGAAGAAAAAAAAAAAACTTAAAGCACCAATCTAAAGTAAGTTGGAAAAAATGTTAGTTCCTTGGGAATTTCAAGGATCTGACATGTATGTATTAGTATATTCTTTTTCTTACCAAAGGTGGCTCAGCAGTTTTCTGAATCATTTTTCTTGTGTATGGGCCAGGTGGGCGACCTACAGATTTTTTCTTTCCTTTTTTTTCTAGGCCATTGCTTACTTCCCTGAAACATAAAACCATTACGCATTTAATTTTAGCATAAAGAAAACAAATGAAACAGATGCAATGCAAAATACTGCCACAGCTCTGCCTAATTACTTATTTTATATGAATAGCAAAAAAAGACAAATATAAGTTGAATCTACAAGTGTAGCAAAATGTATATACTCCATCAAAACTTCACGATTTATTTACTTAACAGGTTTTTTTTTTAATTCTCTTAAACACAGTTCTAAAAAAAATTAATTAAAATTTTATAAAACTAAATACTACTACATTGGGTAGAAGATTTTAAAATCACTAAAAGTTCAATCATTATTCAACTTAGTACCTGAATTGATTAAGAATTTAGCAAATTCCTGAGGCCAGAAGTATTTACTAAAATACTATAGTATCAGTACAGAGTACCTTTAAATATATGTGAACTCTGGAATGTTATCGGGCAAAAAAAAAAAAAAGTTGTGGTGGCAGAGTGCAGAGGAAAGAGAAAAAGAATCCTTCATATTGTGCAAACAAAATTAGAAGGAACAAAGGCATTTTGGGAGATCAGAGGTATAAGGGTGAAGGTGTTTGCCTTGCATGCAGTTGATAGATTGTCCCCAGCACCAAATCATACCCCAAGCACTGTTGAGAGTGACCCCAGAACATTGCTGGTATGGCCCAAAAACCCAATTCCTCCCCCAAAAGAATGTCATTTTGAAACATAAAACTATTATCAAACAGTAAGAAGGGAAATAAAGCAATCATGATAGGTATCTCCTACTAACTGAAGGAAAGGGAAACAGGACAAACTATCAATTTAAAGAATATCTATTTCATTTCTTCACAACCACCTACCAAATTAAATGGATTAGGTAGTAAGAACACAAAGATGTACTCTATGCTTTACAATATAATTACAAGGTGAGAAATGTGTGTACAAGTAGGATAATAAAATGGGTACATGGCATAAGAAAATTACCTAGGAAATAATCTAAAAATTAAAAAAAATAAATAAAGAGAAGTGATGGTGAAAAAACACTAGGAAACCTCTAAGCAGAAGGTTTCTAGACACCTAACAAATTGGGGAATAAAGGTGCAGATATAAGGAAGGAGAAAGCTGAGGAGCTAGAAAAACAAAATAGTGAAAGGACTGCAATAAAAAAAGTGTCTCAGGAATGAGATGGATGGGCGCATTCTTCATTTTTTAAAAAAGATGATCAACATAATATTTATAAAGGAGACCAGAAATAAAGAAAACACTCTTAAACTGAAAGAACCAAATGAATCATACACAGGGCCCAGAAGATTCAGAATACCTTAACCCTTTAACTCTCCAGAAAATCAAACCCTTTACCTGGTAGCATCAAAAGCAACCTGACAGCTACCACAGTTGAAATGCCCTATCAAAACCATGAAAAGAACAAGATTTGTGGAACACCCTTTTTCTAACTTATAACAACACGGGCAAAAGCAAGCTAGTAAAGCATTAATGATACTATTTAAAAAATAAGTATATTCATTTTTCCCCAAAAAAAGAATGATCTATTCTTATATCTATATAATCTGAATTCTAATGAATACGAAATTTGATCAATCCACTATAACTACATTTTCCTACTCTTCCTGATGGGGAAGAAGGATCCTTAAAATTTCCCTCCCTACTCAACCCTCCCCATTATCTTTGCCTCAGATTTCACAGAGAAAGTAAGATGCTGCCAATAATTAATTTTAGTCATCTTTCAAATTCAAACAGAACCAGCATCTGTACTCATTTTTCTAAAGAAATGTTAAGACCTCATATCAAATACCACACCCATGGTTAGGCTGATAATCTTTCCCCCTTAGAGCTTCTTAAAGATAGAACTTTCAACCTCTCCTCAATATCAATCGCTTTTCTACTTCACCATTCCTATGAATACAGATAAACAGGTTCCAATTATCATGCATATAATAAAAACAGTCATTTTGAACTCCCCCCAATACTCACAGTCAGCTTCCATTCCACTTGACTACTACTCTTCACAATTAAAATTCTAAGAGTTGACCATCCTTGCCATTTTCTTCCTATGCTTTAAGAATTCTAATATTACTTCTTTTTCTCTCTCCTTTATAATTATCATCATTTTCTATTTACTTATGTACCTTATTTATAGAAAAAGACAATTTCAACAAGTAAATTTGCAGTGCTAAACTCAAACATACTTCAGCCTATACAAATCTGTGACTTCTATCTTAAACTCTCCAAAAAATTTTATTAAGGTTAGTGAAAGAATATTGTCTAATAAAGACTTTTCTTTCATCATAATCTACCTCAGGGGCCAGAGCGATAGTACAGTATGTAGGCACATGTCTTGCACGTATCCAATTTGGGTTTTATCCCTAGCATCTCTTATAGTCCCCAGAACATCACCCAAAGTAATTCTGAGGGCAGTTAGGAGTAACTCTTGAGCATCGGTGGGCAATGCTCCCCACTCCCAAAAAACACCACCACCACCAAAAATACCCATAATCCACCTCAGCAATATTTAATGCTTATACACGTATCTTTCTTAAAACAGTACCTACTCCTCCTGACTTTCATAACTAGATATTACTGATTTCTATCTCACTAATCTCTCTTTTTCAGTCTCTTTCATTTTGTTTCTTCCAAATCTGTTTAAATAACACATCAAGGAATTCTCTTGCTCCTCTCTCAAAAGTGATCTGTAAGTAATTTAATTTCATTCATTCTTATCTCTACCCTAACCTCTCTTGAGCTCCTGATTTGCATATCTAATTGCATTAGAACATCATCACTTAGATATCCAGAATCAAACTGAGATATCTAGCCAAATCTATTCCTCTGGCTCTTGACTAGACACCAACATTCACAAGGGCTAGTTGCTCAAGTCACAAATCCTAGTGTTGTTTTCTCTCTTTTTTCATAAATTTACCAAAGTCAATAAAAATACAGAGACCCTGAATTTACATTTCTTAATTTGACTGCTACCACTTAACCCACCATCTTTCATGGGGCAACTTAGTCTTAATTGCTTCTGATCTGATCTCTTACCTATACATGATAATAATTTGAAAAGAATAATGTTACATCATAAAATAGTGCCCTGCTATTCACTGAGAACAACCAAACTTCAAGTAAGACATAAAAGATAACCTCAACCAACTTAATCTGACCAGCATTGATAAAGACCCAATAAATCTTTCCTATAGCTAATCCTATTCTCCCACTTATTATTAAAGTTCCGGTTTAAATATCTTAAATAGTCCTTCCTTTTTCTCCTCCTTCATAAAGACCTGTCTGCCTCTTCTACACCATACTACTTCCCAAACAGTTATATCATGATCTGTAATTATTTTACCTGTTTATCACCTTTATCCCCCACTGTAATGTAAACCACCATCAGGGCAAAAAGAAAGTCTGTGTTGTGATTGTAACCCCAGCATTTATAATGTGTCTGATAAATGGAATGAATGAATGACAACAAAAAAGAAATTAAGGCATTTGCTAACAAAACCAATAGGGGCTATTCTTAAAAGACCAGTATCTAAACAAATATCTAACTAAACATTAATTCTTTCATATCTAAGCAAAAAATTATAAACAGAAAAACAAATTGGAGTAATTGCTGTACTGTACTTTCAAATATACCAATAAGGCTAAATAAGACACAATTTTGTTACAAATATGCCAGAGTAAAACTAAGCCACAGATCAACTTTTACCTTGAATCAGATATAGGTTTGGATGCCTTTCTGCCTTTAATTTTAAATTCATGAGATGTTCCTTCAGGTTCTTTCTCTGCTTTGAAAGCCACATTTGGTGGCACAGGAGGAACACGTATTCGCAACCCAAACAAATGCTTCTTCTTCTTTATTTCCTTCCCAGACATAAACCTAAATTTTTGAAAAAATTAACTAAAAGTAGAAAAACTGAACACATACACATAGCAGATTCTAACTCATAACTCTCAGATACATGTTAGCCTTTATACATAAAAGTCCACCATGTACTACAAAAACTTGCTCTTTTCCCTTGTTTTCCTTGATTCTTATCTGTCTCAGAGATAATAAGATGGTGGGTAAGTAGAAAGATAGAGGTGGGAAGGGGCACAAGATTAGCAGGAAGGGAAAAGAGCATAAGTCTATTTTTCTTTTTAAACATGGCTTCTTTGGCGAGGGGGCGGAAGGGCCAGAGGCAAGGTGCCAGGAATCAAATCCATGTAAGGCATATACTCTACCACTGAAGCACATCTTCAGCCACATATTCTCTCTCTTTTTTTTTTTGAGGGGTGGGAATCTTCCCAAGTAGTGGTCATGAGGCCCTGGGGGTCATTCCCAGATATACTGGACTGGTAAAGGTTCACTGTAAAGGTTCAGTACTCAGGACTGGGGATGTAGTTACTCAGACACAGCAGTGCTAGGGGTGACCAGAGCTACAATCAGCAGTGCTGGGGGCCAAGAGGTGCCAAGGGATTAAATTCCCCAGCCCGGTATCTAATTTTTGAAAGAAGGAAGAGTATGCATCTTTTTTATTTCAGTATGTCATCCCAAAAAAAATTTTTTTTAGAAAGAATCCTATTTCAGAGTAGATTTATAAAAAGAGAAACCCAGGTTTCAAAGTGAGACTTGAAAGAAGAAATAGGACAGCAATTCTACTCAGAAAATGGAAGGAAAATAACCTTTAGTATGGCAGATCTGGAACTAAAAATACTTGAGAGCACAAGTCTAATCTCAATGTGAATTTGGGCTTCTAAAAAAATTGCTTACCCATTCCCAAAGTCCTTAAACTTTTTTTTCCCCCCAAACACGCCCATCTATCTTAGCTCAGGTAGAGTCTGCCTAGACAAAAGAAAAGAACCACCAGCAAATGCTTGTTCGTCCACTATTACATAAGTTTGATAAAAGTGAACTCCCATATCTTTCTAAACTGAATTACAGAACTTACTATCCCATAAAATGTTTTTATCAGTACAACTACACTATATCCTTTGAGAAGGACTGAAGATCTAGCCACTAGTAATTATATCATCTTTTATAAGAAAGCATTGTCCAAAAAAAGCAAACTGTTGAAAATTGTCAGATCATAGTTAGAACCAGCGTACATATTGTGAAAAATTACTTCTATAGTGTAGTAAAAATATTCTTACACTGCTTTAAAAGAAAAAGAAAGTAAAGATCTATGAAAAAAATATAAAACAATATCACCTATCAAAAAATCTAGACCATGAATAATACTATTATGTAACTGGTGGCAAAACCAGAGAAGATATCAATCATTTTAAAACCACATTCTGGGGCTGGAATGATAGTATAGCAGGTTGGGTTTTGCTTGCACACCACCGACCCATGTTCAACTCCCAGCATCCTTTATGGTCCCCCGAGCTTGCCAGGAGCGATCCCTGAGGTCAGAGCCAGAAGTAAGCTCTGAGTACTGCTGGGTGTGGCCCCGCAAAATTAAATTTAAAAATAAAAACCACATTCTCAGGCCAAGAGATTACAATAGACTAAAGTACTTGTTTTGCATGCAGGAGGCCTGGATTCAAGCCCCAGCACTGTATAATCTTGATCATGACCAGGAATGACTCCTAAGCACTAGCAGACCCTAAGTACTGTGACTGTGACTGTGGCTGTGGCCCCAAAACCAAAATAAAATGAAAGTTATATTCTCTGCAACGTAATATATTACTATGAGCAATATGGGGGAATTCTCTATTCCCTTAACTTCTGCATATTCCCACCAACTGAGATTTTATTTTACTTTAAATAGAGTACATTATAGCAACAAAGCATGCTAAAATATTTTACTAAATGTTTTCAATTGAATGAGGCAAATTTTCATGTGATATTAATATGCCTCCCCCAACCCATCATTCCCAAAGGATTTTTGTTCCCCTCTCCCACCCGAGAATCACTGTTTTACTTTGATCGAAACAGAAAAGTTTAAAATGGTGTGTACAACAGTCCCATAATTCTTAAAACAATGTCATTAATTCTCTATACTTGCTAAATGTCTCCCGCACAGGGATACATAAAATAAATCAACTTACATGGTCTTGTAATCATTTAATGCTTCCAGAACATGCTCATATCTTTCAGATTTTGGTGTGTCTGCCAGCTGTGAAGTATCAAGAAACAATTTAAAGCACTATAATTTCATCAGTTATTAATGTACAGGTACTAGAGACAATGTGATGCAGAGGAAAAGCATACTGACTATCACAGAAGTGCTAATTCCAAATCCTCACTGACTGGCCGTGTGTCTAAAGCCATTTGATCTTTCATGGTTTCCTTTCTCACCTATAAAAAAGGGGAATATAAATCTGGCACTAATAGTGACTGCATGGATTCAAATGATATATATAAAAGAATTTTAGACTATAAAAAATACAGAACGGGATTATGTTATTAGTTATTAAATTTAAGTTCTATCATCCAGGAAAACAATAAATTAGATTTACTTAATATCAAAAAAAGCTAAAAAAAAGCTTCTAATAGTATTAAAGAAGTATAAAAAGTCATGAAAAACATAGTATTCTTTTTTTTTTTTGAAAAACATAGTATTCTTTCTCAATAGCTCAACTATTAGAATAAACCAATAATCCATGATTTTTTTTAAACTATGAAGTTGGGTATTTTAATAACAATTACAAAACCCAAAATGGCTGAGTAATCTATCCTCACAAATAGCATTAAATTCTACATATTTAATTCTAGATGACTCTTTATTCTGTTTTACAGAGCTTCTTTTAATCATTACTGCCTTTTCTGTAAAGTTTAAGAACCCAGTATTAAAAAGTTTAAAATTACTCAAGTATCCTCAAAAAAGCCACAAAAACTAGGGGGAAATCACCTAAATATTAGCTGACTTTCAAAATTACTATCAATATGTTCTTTACCAATATGTTCAATCCCCAGCATCACATATTCTGCCCTAAACACTGCCAGGAGTAACCAATAAGTGCAGAGCACCAGAAATAAGTCCTGAGCACTGCCAGTTGTTGACCAAAAACAAAAAAGACAAAAAAAAAAAAAAAAAAAACCCCTGCCAACTAGAACGTTGCATACAGATGAGACTCACAAAGTAATCTACTCTATTGTACAAATTAGTTAACAGGGCTAAATTACCCATTCAAATTCACAAAGCTACATAGCTATAAATGAGACTTATAATGCAGAGCTATAATGCAGAGTTCATTCTGCACCTTTTCCTGTTACAAGTTCTGATTTGTCCAATGAGAAGAAATTTCTATGAAAGGTGAAATAACGGGCCGAAGAGATAGAACAGCAAGGAAGGCCTTATATATAGTCAAAATGGCTAATCTCTGTTATTACATAAGGTCCCCCGGAGCACAGCCAAGAATGATCCCTAAGCACAGAGCCAGGAGCAAGCTCTGAGAACAGCCAAGTGTGGCTCAAAAGCAAACAATTAAAAATTTCTTAAATAAAAGTGAGAAAAATTATCCTATATTTAGTTTGAATTTCCATCAATACTGCAATCTTTTATGATAGTCATTCAATCTTCACTTAAATATTACCATTAGCCAAAGTTCGTAAGACACCTACTGAAACTCTTGTATTCCATTTTCTACTATAAAATACTTCATCAAATATCTCAAGAGTAATCATACCTGAGCTATAATTTTTAACAGCCATATCAAGTAATTTCCATTTAATCTTTAGCTAACTAATTTTCGTCCTTTCCCCCAAAATCCTTAAAATCTGGGGTTAATCTCAATCAAGGGCTATTATATACCTATACCATTATGTGCCTTTAAGCCTAAAAGCAGAACTTTGTAACTATTCTTATTTTTGTTCTTTAAGTCTCAGTCCTTCTGCAGACATTAATCTTATACTATGCATTAACTTTTAGAATTGAATAGTTCTTTACTACATCAATACAATAATGGACAGTTTTAATTCTTCCCAATAAAGGCTTCCTTCCCACAGCATTTTAAGTAGTGCCAGTATGAAACATTTATGAGTCAGGTGGCATAACAAAGCAATTATCATTAATTTATATGAAAATAATGAGTATTATCACACCCCTAACATAATCTACCAAATACACCAAGCAACACACAAAACCTAAAGTAACAGTAGCATATAATAAAAGCCACAAAGATTTGATAAATAAACAGCAAGTACAAAATATTTTCTAAGAAAGCTTAGTTGGTTGATTCTACACTTGGCACAGGGGTACATGCTATCTCCATGATCACTAACTTCAAACACTATTTACTAAACACTATTTTTCTTTTTCTCCTTTTGTGGTTAAAGTAAAACCTCATCTTTGGAAAAAAAAGATGTTAACCGTAGGCCTTTTGTAAAATCAAAGTGACTTAACATACGCTTTCAAAAAGTGGGGTACACCTGCTCAAATTATCACTAGTGATCCATGAAAGCTGGACTTAAGTAGGCCATTTGTTTGTCAAACTATATGTTGTACACTGATACCAAAGTCCACCTCTCACTGATAGACCAATTTCTTATCATTTTCAATTATTATACCACTTCTATCTCTAGCCACAATTATTATAAATCTGTCACAATTTTTTATTTAAAAATACTATTACAAATATTAATTACTACAGAGGGGGGTAGCTCGATGGACTCAGAGAAGCCTGGTTCTTTTGCTGGTACTGCATGGTCCCATGAGCACCACCAGGAGTGATTCCCCAAATATCAAGACAGCAGAGGCCACCTAAGCACTCCCCTTCCTAAAATTAAGTAAGAACTGCTGAATAAATATTACAAAGTGGAATTTATTTTATGGTCTTATCAAATATCTAAAATCCAGGAAAAATCATAATACAAAGCTATGAAAGAGTAATGGTAAAAATTAAAATCTGAATTTCCATCTATCAATAAATAGAGTATAAAAATAACTAACAAGTGTCAATGTAGTCTTTATCTTAATGCAAATAAAATAAATAATGCAATAAGCAATGGATTAGAAAGTAAGTTATGCCAATAAACCTGATGACTCTAATAAACGGATAAAAGCTCAAGTTTTCTATTGTAAAGTTTTATTCTATTCTAATTTTTTTTTCTTTAAAGCCTTTTTGATTTTAGAATTCAGACTGATTTGGGCCACTACATGTGGACCTTACAAAATGATCAAGCTTTTCTTTCATGCCTTCTCTAAAAAGTATTTTAATACGGTTTTCCTTGAAGTAGCTATGGATGACTTTTGGACATTATTTCATAATGTGAAGTCAAATGCATGCCAACCTTCCATTTTTTCAAAAGGTTTTGAAAAGTTTTGAAAAAAACGGTGGGTGAATGAGAGAGAGAACAAAAGGGAATGCCCTGCCACAGAGGCAGGGTGGGATGGGGGGGGAGATGAGGGGGTTGGGGGGTGGGAGGGATACTGGGACCGATGGTGGTGGGAAATGGGCACTGGTGGAGGGATGGGTATTTGATCACTGTATAATTGAAACCCTAGCACAAAAATTTGTAAGTCTACAACTGTACCTCATGATGTCACTAATAAAAATTAAAAAAAAAAAAGAGAAAAAAAACGGTGGGTGAATTTTCTGGAGCAAATAAGGAAAAACCTGAAGCCACCATTAATTCATCTAATCATGTTTTTTGATACTATGATTCAGCTGTAACTCTGTAATTTTTTTTTTACCAAAAAGTGAGATAAAATATTAAACTATATATATTAGCATATACCATTTATTATAAAGGTAAAGGTAAAGGTAAAGGCCCTCCCGTTGATCGTCGATTTGCTCAAGCGGGCCCAGTAACGTCTCCATTGGAGACTTTGTTGTTACTGTGTCTGGCATATCGAATACTCTCGGTAGCTTGCTGGGCTCTCCGAGAGGGGCGGAGGAATCGAACTCGGGTCGGCCATGTTGGCCGCTTGTAAGGCGAACGCCCTACCCGCTGTGCTATAACAAATATTAACTGTAACCTTTAATTTTTTAAAATTTTGGGGCTACACCCAGTAGTGCTCAGGGCTTACTTCTGTCTCTGAGCTCAGGGATCACTCTTGGCAGTGATCACTCAGAGGACGATATGGAATGCCAGAATTGAATCTGAGTCAGCCATGTGCAAGGAAAACACCCTACCCCCTGTACTATCACTCCAGTCCTTTAACTTTACCCTTTAAAAAAAAAATTGCCTGAGGTAAAAAAAAAAAAAAAAAGCAGAGAAATAACCAACTTCCAGCAATGATGGCAAGCAATGCAGACTACGGTTCAGTGCTCTGTCAATTTTGTTAGTAAAGGTGATGGTGAGGAGTATGCAGGGCATAGTCAGAGTCAGGAACTGAACTCAGGACCCTGGGTATGCTAGGTATGTGCCTGTTCTGTATCTCTCTGGCTCCATCTTATTCTTATTTTTCCAAAACAAACAAAAAGGGCATACTGGCAAAGAATAAGATATATTACCTCATAGCCACAAAGGAAAACGTGTATCTCTTGCTCAAATAATTTTTTTCTGATGTATATTGGAAGGCTAGCTAGAAATGAGACACCTAAAATGCATAAACTGAATTCTCAACGTAATTCACTGTGACTCAGTAATTTTTTTTCTTAAAGCCATATACTTAATATACTTCCAGCACATTTCATGGTGCCTAGGATCAACCTCAGGGTTTCATAAGGATGGAAAGCATCTACGTTCTACAGCTAAGTCACAACCCAGTCCCTGAATTCCTTTTTAAAAAAAGTCTGTGGGATATAGCGTTAAGGCACATACCTTATCTGAGGCTGACCCTGGTTCAATCCACATTATTTTGAATATCCTGGAGACCCCTGAGCACCAGCATGGCAACCCAAACACTTTCAGGCACTACAAGGTCCTCACATTGAACTACTAGCATCACCAGCCCCCTGACTACCAGCTGGGACAATCCTCCATCGCCCTTCCAAAATAAACAAAATAACTCAAAGGGCTGAGCACATGCTTTGCCTTTTACATACATGGGTCCTTCCTTATTATCCAGCTCTGGAACCAAGTACTGAGCAAAGGCAGGGACAGCTCTGAGCACCAACACACACATGTACTTGCACATTCATAATCAGACTAATGTTTTCACTTCTTCTATTTTACCTTGCAAAACCTAAATGCTAGTTTTCATCTTAATTTAAAAAGAGACAGCATGTAGCCAATCCTGATATGATCCCAAACATATGGTCCCTTGAGTACCACCAGAAATGACCCCTGAGCACAGAACCAAGAATAGTCCCTGAGAACTGCCAAGTGTGGCACAAATCACCCACTTCTTGCCAAAGGGGGAAAAAAAATCCTTAATAAATAATCTGAGTGTTCATATGCATTCACTTTCTGCATGAAATAAAGTCTGCAGAATTTAATGTGAAATATAAAATGTACCAAAAGGAATAAAGATATCTCTGCATATGAAATGAAAGTACAATGGTTAGGGGGGAAAAAGAGAAATGGACTTAAAAAGACTATCAAAGCATTAGGGCTGGAGTGATAGCACAGTGGGTAGGGCATTTGCCTTGCACGCGGCCGACCCGGGTTCCACTCCCAGCATCCCATATGGTCCCCTGAGCACCACCAGGAATAATTCCTGAGTGCACGAGTCAGGAGTAACCCCTGTGCATGGCCAGGTGTGACCCCAAAAAGCAAAAAAAAAAAAAGACTAACAAAGCAGGGGCTGGAGCAATAGCACAGCGCAGCGGGTAGGGCGTTTGCCTTGCACACAGCCAACCTAGGTTCAATTCCCAGCATCCCATATGGTCCCCCGAGCACCACAAGGAGTAATTCCTGAGTGCATGAACCGGTAACTCCTGTGCATCACCGGGTGTGACCCAAAAAGCAAAAAGCAAAAAAAAAAAAAAAAAAAAAAGACCATCAAAGCAAACACATTTTTTAGTTCCTTATACTTACTTTTATTACTATTTTACGCTTTTATTACTATTCTTGTTATTAATCACTTTATTGAAATTTTTCAAAATAATGTACATAGCACAGCGGTAGGGCGTTTGCCTTGCACGCAGCCAACATGGCTGACCCGAGTTCGATTCCTCCGCCCCTCTCGGAGAGCCCGGCAAGCTACCGAGAGTATCTCACCCGCACGGCAGAGCCTGGCAAGCTCCCCATGACGTATTCGATATGCCAGACACAGTAACAACAAAGTCTCCAATGGAGACGTTACTGGGCCCGCTCGAGCAAATCGATGAACAACGGGAGGGCCTTGAGCAAGGTTTTCAAATTCCATCGAAAAACGTTTTAACAAAAACCAGTAATAATGTCTTATTCTATTTTCTTTTTGCAGGGATTGGGGGGTAGTGTTGGCACCCACATCAGCAGTGCTCAGGGATTATTTCTGATTTTGCACTCAGGAATCACTCATGGCAGGTTTGGGGGACCATATGGGATGTCAGGGATCGAGCCCAGTTCAGCTGCATGCCAAGGCAAGCACCTTACCTGCTGTACTATCTTTTAAGCCATTCAAAATTCAATTACTCACTAACACTCAAAACATCTTAGTCAACTGATTTTTATAAGAGGGCTGGGGGAGTGGGTTAGCAGAGAGAAAATACAAAGTGAAAGGCACTTTGCCTTGTATGTGGCAAACCCTGGTTCAATTTCTGACATTGCATATGATCCTTCAAACACTGTGAGGAATGATCCCTGATTTTTAGTGTATTTTCTGGTGCAGGGGATCAAACCCAAGGTCTCAAACATACAAAGCAAGTGTTCTTCTATAGAGCCATATTTCTGGTCGATAAACATTCTACTTTAAACATGTCATTTAAATATGTCTTAGTTGTTTTTAGTTAAGACATAACTGAAAACTGACATCGAAAGTAGCGAACGAAGTTAGCTCTAATACCACCTACCTCTCCAGGGTGCAATCTATCCCAGTTTTCATTAATGTATGTCATAAGCTCAAGTTCAGAATCAAAGTATTTCTTCTTGTGAATAACACTTAGGTTGTAAAGGCATAGGTGTGCTATATCTACCCTGGAATTCAAAATTAATTAAAATATTAAAAATCAAGAAATCACAGAACCTTTTTTTAAAAAAAACTATTATTTAAAATACTCCTAAGTATTTTGAAAACAGTATCAACATCATAGGTAATATAATGAATCATCACATATGAAAATTATTAGGAAACATGATTTGTTTTAAGATCTCTCTTTAACTGAAAGTCCAAAAGAACTAAAAATACAGATATGAATTCTGATGATCTCAAAGATGTTTATGTTTAGAAGTTATATTTTATGCCATCAACAAATTAACAGAGAGAGTATAGGGATTAAGGTGCTTGTCTTGCACATAGCTGATCCTAATTCAGTGCCTGGCACCACATATAGTCCCTAAGTACCACTACAGATGATCTCTGAGCACAAAGTTAGGAGTAGCCTGCTCCAATCGGGGCTGAGTATCCTCCACCAGATCCTCCATCTTCCAGTAGGCAGGGGTCACACCCACCAACTGACCCCATGGCGCCGTGTAATCCCATCAACGGCCAAGACCCAGAGAACATAAAACCCAGCTCCCGGAAGCAAATGAGGCTGCGCGACATCTTATTATCTCATTCTTACTTTTGGACAACCTGGCAGGCTACCGAAAGTAACCTGCCCACACGGCAGAGTCTGGCAAACTCCCCATGGCGTACCCAATATGCCAAATACCAGTAACAATGATGGGTCTCATTCTCCTAGCCCTGAAAGAGCCTTGTATATGGCACTTTAAAATCTGAGGGCTAGGACGAAGGAGATGTTACTGGTGCCTGCTCGAGGCAATCAACGAACAACAGGATGATCATGATCGTGATCGTGATCTAGGGTTAGAGCAATAGTACAGTGGGTAAGGTGCTTCCCTTGCATGTGGCTGACCCAGGTTCAAGCCCCAACATCCCATCTGGTCCCTTGAGCACTGCTAGGAGTAATTATGAAGACAAAGCCAGGAGTAACCCCTGAGTATGCATAGCGAGGTGTGCCCCCCTCCCTCCCAAGAAAAAACAACAAAAAAGGATTATCTTTAAAAAATCTTGACAATTTTCTCATGCTTTGCATGAGAAAGGCCTAGGTTCAATTCCCTGTACTCCCTGGTCCCTCAGTACTGTGGGGAGCAACCCCAGAATATTGAGCTGAGAATAGTCCCTGAGCACTATTAGGTATGAGCCCACAAAACACAAAAGAAATCATGCATAGTTTATCTTTTGTCTCGTAACAGACATGTTCATACTTACCACTGTAATGGTAGACGTTTGAGGTATTCTGGTCCAGAACTACAGACAGAGCAAATAAATGTATAAAATCTAAGGAAAGAAGAAAAGCTATATACTGAGCATTCCAGGGTATACATAAATGATTTTTAGAATAAAGCTAATATTCTTCCTAGAAATGACAAATAAGGACTAGCACAACAAAACAAAAAGTAATATGAACTGTGAACTTAAGAATTTCTTTTCAGGGGCTGGAGTGATAGCATAGCAGGTAGGGTATGCCTTGCATGCAGTCAACCCTGGTTCGATTCCCAGCATCCCATATGGTCCCCCGAGCACCACCAGGAGTAATTCCTGAGTGCAAGAGCCAGAACCCCTGGATGTGAGCCCCCTCCCCCCAAAAAAGGAAAAAATAATTTATTTTCAAGGAACCAGAAACAATACAGCAGGTAAGATACCTGGCCTGGCATGCAACTAATCTGGGTTCAAAAGCCCTGAGCAGTCAGGTCTGGCCCAAAAGAAAGGGGGGAAAAAAAAAAGTTGGGGCCAGAGCAATAGTATAGGCAATAGGAAAAATGAATGCACTGCACACAGCCTTCCTAGATTCAATCCTTGGTACCCCATATTGTACTCCAAGACCTGCCAGCAGTGATCCCTGACTAGAGAGCCAGGAGTAAGCCCAAGAAAGAGCAACTTATTTTTCAGGTATGACAAACAACAAAATAGTCATATCTAGAGGGAAGAAGCATTTTTTTTATAGTGAGAAATCATGAGGTACAGTTGTAGACTTACACATTTTTGTGCTTGGGTTTCAATTATACAATGATCAAATATCCATCCCTCCACCAGTGCCCATTTCCCACCACCACAGATCCCAGTATCCCTCCAACCCCCCATCCTCCCCATCCCACCCTGCCTCTGTGGCAGGGCAGTCCCTTTTGTTCTCTCTCTCTTATTGGGTGTTGTGGTTTGCAAAAGAGGCAACAATCATGTGTTGTCCAGAGTCTACTTTCCGCATGAAGAAACATTTTTTAAACGGTCAAAAACTTTCAGAGTTTGCAAATTCTCATGCACATCCATGTTTAATATGTAGTATGGGTCAGGAATTGTAGTAATTTGTATGGCCCACTCATACATAGTCATACATGCATTAAATATAACAATATTGAAAGCAATCCAATGAAATAAGCCCAGAGAAGACCTTCCTAATGTCAAAAAGAAGTATAGGTCAAAAATTAAAGCCAGGTTTTTTTATGTCAACTTTAGTGTTTATCTCTTTCTTCCTAGAGCTCTATTACTTCACATTCTTCTAGCGCAAAAATGCACATTGTCTGCTTTTTTAACCCATTGAGGTATAAACCTAATGTGTCAAGACTCTAGGTGTTTCTTAATTTTGGCCAATGCTCCCATTTAGGTTCTTTAAAGTGTAGCATCTTAAAATATAAGTCCTGGACACATATGCGTTACAGCCAAGAGTATGGTGGTGGGGAGAGGTGTGCCACAATTTTTTTTGTTTTTGAATCTAATTTTAAGATTTAGCATTAGCGAATTATTTCATTATTAAATATGCCTGGAGTTACAAAAAAAATTTTCAGGCAAAAACAAGTCAAAAGAGGCCCTAGAGATAGTACAATGAGTAAGCCATTTGCCTTGCACATAGCTTACCCCAGCCCAGTCCCTGAAACTGCATGTGGTGCCCTGAGCTTGTTACGAGTGAGCCCCAAACACAGAGCAAGAAGTATACCCTGAGCACTGCCAAACAAAACAAAAAATTTCAGCGGGGGTGACCCACAAGCGGAAAAAGTTTAAGAAGAATGGTACTATGAGAACAGTGCAGAACATCACTGGCAAAAAGAAATATAATCAGACTTGAAGCTTTCTGGAATATTCAAAAATCACAAAACTTAAGAATCAAATATGATATTTTAAGCTTTTTATTTCTAATTTTCCCCTTTAAAGAAACCCTTAGAGAAAGCACAGCTATTAAGGCACTTGCCATAGACAAGGCTGACCCAGATTTGATAATGAACACCCCAAATGGCCTCCTGAACAAAGAGAAGTAATTCCCGAACATAGCTGGGCCTAGCCCAAAAACTATAAGTAAAATTAAGGTTTTCAAATCACTATTAAACCTTGTTAAAATCTAAAGTTGCAAACCACAAAATGTTACAGAATCAGTCAACAGGTGAAGTTTAAATGCTCTTCTTACCTGTCTCCAAATAGCATTGGCTTTTGAAGGCATTGCACACAAGCCTCATGAAACCACTGCTTACACTTGCAGCACTGTAGCATCTTTAAATACCAGCTATAAGAAAAGTTAAGGTTAGAATTATTACTTTCCAAAGAGGTAAAAGACATTTTTTAAATAGTTACAATGGCATTATGTAAGCACTTACAGTGTCTCATTTGTCATATTTTTAAAGTATATGAGGCATTTGTGACTTACATTACTGTTAATAGTAAGGTTTCATACATAAATAATTCCAACGTCACAACCTCCAGAATGTCTGCTGCCTTCCAAAACCATCTTACTGTGCCTCCCCTTAGGCCCCCATTTCTTCTATGTGACCTTTTTCTTGGTCAAAAATCACTAGAGGGATCAATCATTTTATTCTCTCTCTTTTATTCATGAGAATTCGTAATATCTTAAAGAATACATCTTTTGTTGTTGTTGTTGTTGTTAACAACTGCCTACTTCCTACACTTACAAAGGATCTCTGTCAAAAGTTTATTTTTGCGGGGCTAGAGTGGTAACACAACAGGTAGGGCATTTGCCTTGCACACGGCCAACCCAGGTTCAATTCCCAGCATCCCATATGGTCCCCTGAGCACCACCAGGAGTAATTCCTAGTGCAGAGCCAAGAGTAACTCCTGTGCATCACCAAGTGTGACCCAAAAAGCAAAAAAAGAAAAAAGTTTATTTTTGGACCACACTTGGTGATGCTCCTGACTTATGCCTTTGTGTGCAAGGATTATTCCTGGAAGTGCCTGGGGGATCACATGTACTCTGGGGCCTAACCAGGTTAGTCTCAATTCAAGGCAAGTGCCTTAACCCCTGTGCTATCTCTTGGGCCCTATAGGTTCTTCTTGGTTTCAGTCAGCTTACCTCTGGGCTATGAGCTTAGCTATCACTCCTCAAGGGGCTTAGGAACCCACTGTACTATTTCTCCAGCACCTTCATTTGTTTTTGTATATGGACGACATCTAGCTGAGCTCAGGGCTTATACTGGCTAAGTTTCCAGGATCATTCCTGGCCATACGGGGGTCATATGGGTGCTGGAGATGAATCGCGATCAGCTGAGCGCAAGTCAGAGGCCCTACCCACTGTACTATCTCTCAGATCCCTATGAATTATTTTTTTATATAAACTTTCTATACCCTAGGAAATCAATTTGAGATCACTGATGAGTACAATTATCTGCTCCATATACCAAATGGCAACTGTCAACCATCACTAAACTTCTATCATCTGTGTTGAGGATAATGAAAATATAACAACTTAATAAACTGGTTAACATAATTGTAAGTCTAATACTCTACTGACTATAAAGAATTTTTGACAGATTTTGTACTATTTTCACTGTCCTCCCATTGTTCCTCGATTTGCTCGAGCGGGCCCAGTAACGTCTCCATCGTGAGACTTGTTGTTACTGTGTTTGGCGTATCGAATACGTCGCAGGGAGCTTGCCAGGCTCTGCAGTGCGGGCGAGATACTCTCGGTAGCTTGCCGGGCTCTCCGAGAGGGGTGGAGGAATCGAACTCGGGTCGGCCATGTTGGCTGCGTGCAAAGCAAACGCCCTACCGCTGTGCTATTGCGGCTATTGATAATAAAATAACTAGAGGGGGCTGGAGTGATAGCACAGTGGGTAGGAGGTTTGCCTTGCCACGCGGCCAACCCGGGTTCGATTCCCAGCATCCCATAGGGTCCCCTGAGCACCGCCAGGAGTAATTCCTGAGTGCAGAGCCAGGAGTAACCCCTGAGCATCGCCGGGTGTAGCAAAAAAAAAAAAAAAAAAAGCAATAAATAAATAGCACTGTTCTCCCGTTGTTCATCTATTTGCTCAAGCGGGCCCAGTAACGTCTCTATTTTGAGACTTGTTGTTACTGTGTTTGGCTTACCGAATACATCACGGGTAGCCTGCCAGGCTTTGCCTTGCAGGCGAGATACTCTATCTAGGTAGCTTGCCAGGCTCTCTGAGAGTGGCGGAGGAATCGAACTCGCTTTGGTGGGGGGCGTCCTGCGCGCAAGGCAAACGCCCTACCACTGTGCTATCGCTCTAGCCAATAAAATAACTACAGCCTCTAATTTTTTTCTGACTGATATTTTATGTCTTTACAATTTATTAGTGCTACCACACCATAATCAGTAACAAAGTTTAACATTTTTATATGTAAATAAGTTAAATAAAAGGCATTAAGTTTACTTACTCTCCAGGACCTCCACAATAGCAGTAACATTGCTGGACATTGGTTTTATGACCTGCATCCCATTCAAGGTCTGCCACACTATAGGGTAATGTTTGCTTCATGACTTGCAATGCTTTGGCATTAGGTCCTTTCTTAAGCGCACCACCCCTCTATATTAGAGGGAAAAGATTATTTAAAAGAGTGAAGGATTAAATTTTAACAATAATTCTAACTTAAAATCCTTCTGAGACTTTTAAAGAAATTTCCACCCTAAATTTCTTACCATGTCATAAACTGAGTATTTATTTGTTGTAATTTTTCAAATTATCATCATCCCAATTTCAAGACTATCATAAAATAAGCACAATAACAGCTGTAAGTCACCTAAACATCACTATTCATAACAATAAACAGCACCTCTGTCTACCGAAGGTTAACTATTTATTTCATTCATATAAACTTTCAACGTATGCAATCACGACGTTGATAGTGTCTTACGAATAATTCCATTTAGGGCTTTAGCCCAAAACACTTAAAATATACCTTTGTTGTTGTTGCAAAAACACACTGTCGACAGAGCCATTTTTCATCTGAATCAATCACACTGGAATCAATATGAGGTGTGTGACACAACTGATGATATCCTTAATGTCAAAAAAAGCATAAAGCAAATTCTATTTTATTAATAAATACTGCAATACAACTTCAAGAAGGCATTTTAGCAATCTATTTTTCCCTCTATTATTATGTTTACAATTGATGAATAAATACGGTAATTTACCAATGTAAAGTATTTTCAGTCATTAATCTTCAGTCTGGACATTAAGTATTTAATAAAATTTTTTGTAATAATAAAAAATATGTATGTTTACCTTGGCCACACTTATCACATATAACCATTTCATTGGGAGCTTCTGAATACTCTTCTTGACATATTGTACAGACCATTTCCCCACTTCCAGTGGCTCCTGAAATATGTAATATATACATGAAAGGTCAGCTATTTTTTTAAGTCAGTCATAATAAAGGTGCGTTCCACTTAACAAAATTCCTTTAACTCAGAAAGTAGCCTACACTGACCCTGTTCATCCACTAGATTATAATTATTTCTTCTCAAAGCAAAGTACTATAAAAATGCTGCTCTCTATCTCCTATGTGTTATTCCCCACTATGAGATTCCTGTCTATATTCATAATCCAGTCTATCTTTTGGCAAAAAAACAACTAACTTGCTCGTGGGCAGGGTATTGCCCCCCTTCTTTTTCACTATCAGTTTGTGGGTCATACCCAGGGTGCTTAGTGGCAGAAGGGACATGTGCATGTTTTATTCTCATAACAAGTAATAAAAACTTATAATTTTTTGCTTTGAACCATGGGCCAAGCATTGTGCTAAGCATGACATGTACTACTTAATTCTATCATTTATTAGATACACATTTTACTAAGTGACTATGGTACCAGGGATCAAGCTTGGGTTTTCACACATGTGTTCTAGTGCTGAGTCACATCTCTGACAATAAAATTAATAAATTCATGAAGAAATCAGACTCAGAATGAGTAACTAACTCAAAGGTCTTCAGTAAAAAGGTATCAAGGCCTGTGGTATTCAAATAGCCAGAATCCATATTAGCTCCACCGTGAGAAACTTCCTGTCAACAAAAATATTTATCATTCTAATATAAGAACTTTCATACTGTCAATTTCAAAATTAAAACTTCTAATAGCTGGACAATAGTTCATCCAGGGGGAAAAACACATTTACTTTATTAGACCTCTACTCTTAAACATCCAGGTTACCAAATTTAGGGGTCTCTTTCTTTGTAATTTTTCTTGTTTGTTTTGGACTATTGTCCTCTCTGTTCCTTCCTCTTTCAGGCTTTGTTTGCTTCCATGTACGTTGGGCTGGACATGTTTCCCAGTGTTTCTGAGTTTATGGTTAAGTCAGGAGAGCAACCAAACTCAGTCTGGGACTTCTCATTCCAAACCTGCAATTCCCTAGAAAAGAAACAATAACTTCAAACTGAAGGAGATGCTGCTTTCCACTATTACCATCTGGACTACTGGGAGGGAAAGCAGCTCCTCAGAAAAAGGAATGCCAATCAAATAACATGTTCCCATCAGGAAGCAATCCTCAAAAAGCAATCCTGAGGAGCTGGAAATCAGATTTGTGAAATCCAAGTGCACCTTTTTTACTCCCCAGTTAACAAAAATTGGGGGGGAGGGGGGAGAGGGTGGAACTGGTTTGGGCCACACTCCCAGAGCTCAGGTCATTATTTCTGACTGTGAGCCCTGGAGTTGCCCAAGGCACTAAACGTGGTGTAGGTACGCGAGCCACAGTTGGCCCCATCAGCAAGGCAAACACCGTACCTCCTATACTATCTCCCTAGTTCTAACAGAACTTTTGAATAGCTTAGTGGCCTACTAAGTTCCTTAACTACAAATTAATGAACTGACATACTGGCAATTTCATTTCATATGTAACAAATTAGTTGTTGTTAAGATAGTAAATATTTATTAAGTCTTTTTCATTACTTTTAAATTTTTCCGAATAAACCTCTATGAGTCCACTATATATATATATAAGACAAAGTTATACATCTGATACAACAGTGAGAATAAAAAGATAGAAATTCACAATGTCACCAGCAATGTTATCATTTTCACAGAAACCTAAAGTTATTTTAAATTTATTTAGTGCTTTTATTTAAACACAGTACTTCCTGTTATAAATGAGCATTTCTTTCACTACTATTACTATACATGTTTCCATTATTTCTATAAAGTTTTTAAATAATCTTTTGGATCCACTACTGTTTGGGGGGAGGGACCTTCTCCCAAGAAGTGCTGAAGACCATACACACACACACATACACACACACACAAACAATAGATTAGATTTTTTTAATTGTCATTTTGATTTGGGTCACACCCAGTGTTGCTCAGGGATCATTATTCCTGGCAGTGCTCAGAAGACCATAAAGATGCTAGGAATTGAATCCGAATGCAAAGTAAGCACCCTACCCACTATACTATTACTGCAACTCTAGTAGGTTTCTTATAGGAATAAAGCTACTGAGGCTGCTGTCCAGATAAAATCTGAAATCTGCATAATTCAGTTTCAGATTCACTTGATTCTAAAGCAAGTCCATATTACATGAATGTTACTTTCTGGGTGTTACAATTCTAAATAGCCAAAGAGCAATTCTAACTAAAATTCTAAGAATATGGGGCTGGAGCAATAGCACAGCGGGTAGGGCGTTTGCCTTGCACGTGGCCGATCGGGGTTCAATTCCCAGCATCCCATATGGTCCCCGAGCACCACCAGGAGTAATTCCTGAGTGAAGAGCCAGGAGTAACCCCTGTGCATTTCCGGGTGTGACCCAAAAAGCAAAAAAAAAAAAAAAAAAAAGAAAAGAAAAGAAAAGAAAAGAAAAAGAACATGGGGCTGGAGTGATAGTACAGTGGGTAGGGCATTTGCCTTGCATGCGGCCAACCCGGGTTCCGATTCCTAAGCATCTCATATAGTCCTCCCCACCCCCACCCCTTGAGCACGGCCAGGAGTAATTCCTCAGTGCAAAGCAAGGAGTAACCCCTGTGCATCAACGGGTGTGATCCAAAAAGAAAGAGAAAAAAAATCTATGAATAGTAAAAAGATGATGAAAAAAAGAGACCACTAACCAATACCTAGTGGGGTACATGTTACATTTACACCCTCGTTCACAATTTCCTACCTCTATGTACCCACTAATTTTCTTCTGGAAGATATAAAACGAAGAGGAGTTGGGAGAGGAAGGAAACAGAAAGACAGACCTATAATTATCTCACAGAAAGCTCAAAAAGAAAAGCTGAAAACTAATACATCTTATAGACAATGGAAGGGGAACAGGAAGCAGTATAATATATATCATATCAGTGCTACCAGTGATAAATGTTTACAAACTCAAAAAGAGTAATTCTGTATGCAAGGCAAAAGATCTGTTCAGTATCAGTCCTACTGGAGACTTCCCAAAGACCTCCCAATTTTTTCTCACTTATCTCACTTATCTTATTTCAGATTCAAAACATAATTTTAGCCCTTTAAAATTCCCAGGACCATACAAAGTTCCTCCAGAAAAACATTGTACTAGGTTGCAAACTGCAATATCCTACTAAGCCCTGAGTACTGAGAGACTGCACTTAAAACATTACAATTCCTTTAGCAAATCTTTTTATTCTTTAGGGAAAAATTATGAGTGAAATTAAAAAACAGGATACATCAGGAATCTGCTAGAAAAATGCAGCTGAAATTCAAATGTAAACCCAATCACTAAATACTCTAGAAAGGTATATTCACTTGAGAAACAGGAAATTTATTCTCTTTCTTCAAGATGTGTTTAAAACCAGTATGTTGGGGCCAGAATGCATACAACGGATAAGGCACTTGCCTTGCACACAGCAACCCATAACCAGCACCACATACAGACCCTAAGCACCAGCAAGAGCAATCCCTGAATACAGAGCCAGGTTAGTAAGCCCTGAGCACTGCCGGGTGTGGCCCCAAAACCAAAAAATCAATAATAACTTAAAAAAAAAATCTTCAGATACTAGGAATACAGGAAATAAAAATACCAGAAGTGGAATTGTGCTGTACAGCTAAAATACTCAAATTTTTAACATTTACAGTTTTATATAAAGTGCTTTCAATGAAAGGCACACCTAAACACACCCAGAAAAATTGCTGTATTTTGCAGATTCGCAGGGCACAGAACAATTAGTTTAAAAGAGAAAAACATTACAAGAAACGTACCTATAACCAAACCAAGGCATACCTGTATTCATTTTTACTTGCACCCAAATATAGCCTCATTTTCCCATCTAAACATAAAAAATCATAATTAAACAGTAATTTTAAACCATTGTTATTAATGAATATTTCTAATATTATAAATCTGCTTTATATGTCCTAATTTTCCACAGAACCTGCCAAACAGTATGTGCCCAATAAGTATCAGTTCACAACATTATTTTGACTAATATAAGCAAGTAATAGTAAAGTTTAAGCCTGAAGTGTTTCTCATATCAGGTACTAAAATTAGTGTTATAATATTTTCAAAGTTCTCAGGAGGCTCCTAACAGTAGTTTATAGGTATGCATTCTCATCTGTCCTCTAGTCTCCCTCTACTGTGTAATTTTTATTATTATTTACTCAGTGTAATTTTAATTATTCTATAGTCTATAATAAACTCTGAAGACCATACTTTGAATTTCTTAGCATCTTATCATAAAAGAACTGAGGTATCTTAACACATTATACTCTGTAGAGAACAACAGAAAGTAACAAGCTGAAAAAAATCAGATTTCAATGTAAAGCATGTTCAGAAGAAGTATTAGCACCTGCCTGTTTGAATGTCCTTCCAGAGAACCCAGGATTTAGAGCTGTCTTCAAATATGATGAAGCAGCTCTGTTTCAATATGTTTATCTGAAATACAGAGGAATACTTAGGATGACTTCTTTAAAAATTGAAAACATTTAATTAAAAAATTGATATTCAAATTCAAGATAATTAAGAGTTTACTACAGCAATAGCATAAGACTTTTACAAGGGTAACTTGCCTTTTTGATAGTGCCAAGATAAAACAAGCCATCTGACCATCTAGCTAGGACATCCTGACCCTCTTCAAATTTACATGCTGGCTTTTTGACTTTATGCCCATCCTGTAAAGACAGCTTGCTCAAGGATGCTGAGGTCTTTTGGCTTCGACGTAAAGGAGACCGCTTGTGGACCAGTGAATTACCTGCCCCTGTAGAGTCTCTGTTTAGGAAATAAAAGACCAAATATAAGATTAACTTACATGCAGAGCTTCTTTTATACCAAATATATTATATAATCAGCGGTAGGGCGTTTGCCTTACAAGCGGCCAACATGGTCGACCGGAGTTCAATTCCTCTGCCCCTCTTGGAGAGCCCGGCAAGCTACCGAGAGTATCTCGCCCACACGGTAGAGCCTGGCAAGCTCCCCGTGACGTATGTTGATATGCCAAACACAGTAACAACAAGTCTCATGATGGAGACGTTACTGGGCCCGCTTGAGCAAATCGATGACTTATTAGTATTATTATTATATTATTATTAATCAAAAATAGTGATTCACAAAAAAAAAATTAAAGTCAATGAACCTCTGCTTGCTCCCTCACATCCCCATGAGAGACTAATCTCCAAGGTGGACATCTCAGGGGCCTTTCTGGAACCAAGGCGAAAACCTGTTCCCTCCAGCTAAGGTCCTGGCAGCATCCCACATTACACCAGACTTCTGACATATCAACAGACCCAGCTCCATTTCCTGAACCTCTGTTAATCTCCCCTCTCCCTGTACGCCCCCCCCCCCCAGCAGGAGCACAACAAACCCAATGGGGATTACGCATAAAAACCCACTAAGTTCAATGAGTGAAAACAGTATTTTTCAAACCAGTACCAGCCAGCTCTGTAAATTTTAGAGAATGACTTTAGTGACACGTGACACATGACATAATGTTGAGGATGTTTAATGAGCTCAAAGAAATAATGGCACAGATAGCAAACCACAATACATGAAAGCCAAAATGAGAAAGCAATAACCAGAAATGGCAGAAATAAGTGATATAAAAACTCAATACACAGAGCAGCAAAATAACAGTAATTAAGGAAAAGATGAAGGAGCTACAAGAGGGGTCAGAGAGTACAGTGGGTAGGGTGCCTGCCTTGCACATGGGCAACTCAGGACCAACCCTGACATTCCATATGGTCCCAAACAAACCAAGAGAAAGACATGAGCACAACTGGGTGTGGCCCCAAAACTTTTTTTTTTGAGGCGCTACAAGATGAGACAGGGGAAACTTTTAGAAAACAACAGATACAAAAAAGTCTGAAAGTAAACTTGAGTCCTAGAACATGCAAGATATGTGTTTATGACCAGAGTTATCTTCCTAGTCCCTCAAAGCAAAAGCACACCATATTGTATGTTCATTGTATTTTACATACTACTTTCCAATGAGACCTTTTTTTAAAAAAATATAAAAAGTACCTCAAATCAAAAATATTGCCAAGAAATATTTTAAACATTTTAAATGCAGTCTAAAATGAAGTTAACAGTTTCAAATTATCTCAGTGATTATGGAAAATAAAGGATTTAGCAATAACGCTAAGCTAATATAGGCAAGGCTGCAACTTCCAAAATAGCTCTAGCAATAGGACAGCAGGTAGGGCGATTGCCTTGCACACAGCAAACCCGAGATTCGATCCCCAAATCCCATATGTCAGACCCATCAGGAGTGATCCCAAAGCTCCTTACTCAGGAGTAAAAATCCTTAGCACTGCTGGGTGTGGCCTCCGAAATACCAAAAAATAAAAATAAGTAGGCACATAGAACAACTTCATAAGCACTTGATAAGAATAAAAACTGACAATGCCACTAGAACACAGTAATGGATGAAGTAGATGGTAACTGTATATTCAAGGAAAGTCATCAAGACCTCCCTTCAAGCACTGATCCTGGTAGGCCAGGTCTCTCAGCCCAGATCACTGGAGCTTTCAGGGGGATGACTCACGCCAAACTCCTGATCACTGAAGGGTCCAGCATGTCCACCCACATACACACCTTCATCCACTCAAAATTAAACTGCCCAGCCCCATGACCAATCTCAAAGAGAAGCCGCAGCCACACTGAACCTGGTAGGCTCACAGTTGCATATGAGGCCACAAAGCATCTCCAAAGTCCAAGTACTGACATCCCAGAAAAAATTAGATAGAGAAAATTTGATAGGATAGTTGTGTAGATGCCCACTAAGCTCAATTAGCAAAAACAATAGCAAAGAAGGCTCAACTAGCACCTAAAAGCTCAGCAAATCCTCAGACAACAACTTTAAAGCACCAGTATGAAATACATGTTGCAACAAGCAATATAATGTCAATTATTTTGTGCCTGCTAAAGAGGCGGGATGGGGGTAACTTGGGAATTTAGTGGAGGGAAGGTCACGCTGGTAGTGGGATTGGTGTTGGAATATTGAATACCTGAAATGACAGTACTGTGAACAATTTTGTAAATCAGAGTGTTTAAACAGTTTCAAACAGAGGAAAAAAGAAACCATTATTGAAATGAGCCTAATGTATTGATGGAAGTATTGATGGGAATGTCACACAATCCCTCAACAATACAATCTGGGAGTGTTAAAAAAAAATCCACACCAATTTAATAAAATCATATTTAAGTGTAAAGATTAATTAGCAATGGCCCCAAAATTAGACTCCAAAATTATATCACACAATAAGTTGTGTATTAATAGAACATACTAGAAGTGTCCCCTAAAGCAGCAGGTATGGACCCAAACACCACCCTCCCCCAGACTTAAAAAAAAAAAAAGAATTAAGAAGCATAAACATTGCTACAAGCACAGTTAACTTACAAGAAATACTAAATGAAGTTCATAGGGTTGAATACAAGTAAGCCAAGTAAAAATTCACATCAATATCATGAACAAAAAAACAAAACAAGAAGTTATTCTCTAACTATGAAAGGCCACTTATATATTTCATCTAAGGCTAGTATTCAAAATAACACATAACTGTATTGTTACGCACACACTATATATATAAATGTACTATATTTGACATTAACAGCAAAAAGGAGGTGGTAAACAAAACTACTGATGACCCCAAATGGTAACACCAATCTACCCACAGAATAAAAAGAGGAAACCCACAAATACAAATAAGAAAATGAATTTAAAAGTGAAGTGATACGTCACTTCAAGGAAATACTGAACACATACCAAGTTAGTCCTTATTTCAAGCAAAACTGCTCTATGAAAAAGCTACTCATTCACCTATCAACTCTATGGCATTAATATTTAATGTATGCTAACTTTACTATCACATATATTAAAAACTTAAAGTCAGTCAGAATGTAACTCAGTGGTAGGTCACAAGCTTCACATATGAGGCCCTATGTTCAATCCCTAACACCAAAGAAAAACCTTAACAATGGAGCTGATGAGGATCAAAACTCAAATGGCCAAAGCAAATGGCTTTGCATACTGGAGACAGAGCCCCCAACTTGATCCCCAGCACTGCCATGAGAAGGCCCCAAGCACTGTGCCAGTAACAGCCTTTGAGTTACACTGTAGAGTGAGCTCCACTCCTCCACTCTACGGATGCACCCTAAGTCAAGCCTAAATATAGTAAAAACATTTTTTTGCTGTCTCATTAAGAATGCCAAAGTGATCTTTGAAGCGTTCAGCATAAGAGAAGGAACACATGGAGGGTGCGGGATCCCGGAGGAAAAAAAAAAAAAAGAAAAAACAGGTTCCAAAAAGAGCCGAGATCACCGGCAAGTTCCAGATGGAGTAGGCGCCGCTTCCCGCCTCCGCCAGATGGAACCCCGGTGACCAGAAGCCTCTAAAAACACAGCTCGAGTATGCGGGAACGAGGACTTTTTCTCAAAACCGCGCGGCCGCGTAGCGACATCTCTCTATATACAAAGTGATCAATGAGAAGTAAACCACCCAATCTTTCTCCCTGAAAATCAGAGTTAAGTTTGGAGCACGGCCACAGCCCCAGAAACACAAGGACTTAATGCAGAACCCAGCAGCTTAGAGCAGAAAAGTGAACGGATGATGAGTTAACCCAGGCCATCATCTCTGCCCAGAGGGGAAAGGGTGTTGCCCCATTCGCCCTCTCCTCTCTGGAAAGAAAGATGGCGGCCACATGGGAGCCTTGTGGACAACAGGTATGAGCCGGGAGTGTGGGGGCGACTAAAACCTCATGGGAAGGGGGGCGTTCCGGTCCGTCCTTCACGCCCTACCGAGGTCACCAGTTGCCCCCCACGAGCGGCTCTCCAGCACGGCCACAGCCCCAGAAGCACAAGGGCTTAATGCAGAACCCAGCAGCTTGGAGCAGAAAAGTGAAAGGACTATGCGTTAATCCAGGCAATCATTTCTGCCCAGAGGGGAAAGGGTGTTGCTCCCTTCTGCCCTCCTCCCTCTGGAAAGAAAGATGGCGGCCACATGGGAGCCTTGTGGACAGCAGGTATGAGCCAGGGGTGTGGGGGCGACTAAAACCTCATGGGAAGGGGGGCGTTCCGGTCCGTCCTTCACGCCCTACCGAGGTCACCAGTTGCCCCCCACAAGCGGCTCTCCAGCACAGCCACGGCCCCAGAAGCACAAGGACTTAATGCAGAACCCAGCAGCTTGGAGCAGAAAAGTGAACGGACTATGCATTGATCCAGGCCATCAAGTCTGCCGGAGGGGAAAGGGTGTTGCCCCATTCGCCCTCTCCTCTCTGGAAAGAAAGATGGCGGCCACATGGGAGCCTTGTGGACAGCAGGTATGAGCCGGGAGTGTGGGGGCGACTAAAACCTCATGGGAAGGGGGGCGTTTCGGTCTGCCCTTCACGCCCTACCGAGGCCACCAGTTGCCCTCATGAGCGGCTCTCCAGCACGGCCACAGCCCCAGAAGCACAATGACCTAATGCAGAACCCAGCAGCTTGGAGCAGAAAAGTGAAAGGACTATGCGTTAATCCAGGCAATCATTTCTGCCCAGAGGGGAAAGGGTGTTGCTCCCTTCTGCCCTCCTCCCTCTGGAAAGAAAGATGGCGGCCACATGGGAGCCTTGTGGACAGCAGGTATGAGCCGGGGGAGTGGGGGCGACTAAAACCTCATGGGAAGGGGGGCGTTCTGGTCCGTCCTTCACGCCCTACCGAGGTCACCAGTCACCCCCCGCGAGCGGCTCTCCAGCACGGCCATGGCCCCAGAAGCACAAGGACTTAATGCAGAACCCAGC